TCCTACCTACCTGCCTTTCCTACCTACCTACCTGCCTTCCTCCTACCTGCCTTCCTACCTATCCTACCTGCCTTCCTTCCTTCCTACCTACCTGCCTTCCTTCCTTCTACTCTGTCCTTCCTTCCTTCCTACCTTACCTACCTACCTACCTGCCTTCCTTCCTTCCCTTCCTACCCTACCTACCTACCTACCTGCCTTCCTTCCTCCTTCCTTCCTACCTACCTGCCTTCCTTCCTCTACCTATCTACCTGCCTTCCTTCCTACCTACCTGCCTTCCTTCCTACCTACCTACCTACCACCGCCTTCCTTCGTACCTACCTTCCTTCCTTCCTACCTACCTGCCTTCCTTCCTACCTGCCTTCCTCTCCTACCTACCTACCTACCTACGCCTTCCTCTCCTACCTACCTCCTTCCTACCTACCTGCCTTCCTTCCTGCCTTCCTTCCTACCTACCTACCTACCTACCTGCCTGCCTGCTTCTCCTCCTCCTGCCTTCCTTCCTTCCTTCCTTCCCTTACCTGTCCTTCCTTCTCCTACCTACCTGACCTCCTCTACCTACCTTCCTACCTACCTACCTACCTACCTACCTACCTACCTTCCTACCTGCTCCTCCTACCTGCTTCCTTCCTCTACCTGCCTTCCTACCTTCCTACCTACCTGCCTGCCTTCCTACCTACCTGCCTGCCTTCCTACCTGCCTGCCTGCCTTCCTACCTGCCTGCCTTCCTACCTACCTGCCTGCCTTCCTACCTGCCTGCCTTCCTACCTACCTGCCTGCCTTCCTACCTACCTCCTGCCTTCCTACCTACCTTGCCTGCCTTCCTACCTACCTACCTGCCTTCCTTCCTACCTACCTGCCTTCCTTCCTACCCTACCCTGCCTTCCTTCCTACCTACCTGCCTCCTCCTTCCTACCCTACCTACCTGCTCTTCCTACTACCTACCTGCCTTCCTACCTACCTAACTGCCTTCCTTCCTTCCTACCTACCTACCTACCTGCCTACCTTCCTTCCTTCCTACCTACCTACCTACCTACCTGCCTACCTACCTACCTGCCTTCCTACCTACCTACCTGCCTTCCTTCCTACCTACCTAACCTGCCCTTCCTTCCTACCTACCTACCTGCCTTCCTTCCTACTCTACCTACCTACCTGCCTTCCTTCCTGCCTTCCTACCTACCTACCTGCCTTCCTACCTACCTGCCTTCCTACCTACCTACTCTTCCTTCCTCTCCTACCTACCTACCTGCTCCTTCCTTCCTACCTACCTACCTGCCTTCCTTCCCTACCTACCTGCCTTCCTTCCTTTTTTTTACCTACCTGCCTTCCTTCCTACCTACCTGCCTTCCTTCCTACCTTCCTACCTACTGCCTTCCTTCCTTACCTACCTGCCTTCCTTCCCTGCTACCTTACCTGCCTTCCTTCCTACCTACCTACCTGCCTTCCTTCCTACCTACCTGCCTTCCTTCCTACCTACCTGCCTTCCTTCCTACCTACCTACCTTCCTTCCTACCTACCTACCTACCTACCTGCCTGCCTTCCTACCTACCTGCCTGCCTTCCTACCTACCTACCTGCCTTCCTTCCTACCTACCTGCCTTCCTTCCTACCTACCTGCCTTCCTTCCTACCTACCTACCTACCTACCTGCCTTCCTTCCTACCTACCTACCTACCTGCCTTCCTTCCTACCTACCTACCTACCTGCCTTCCTTCCTACCTACCTACCTACCTGCCTTCCTTCCTACCTACCTACCTGCCTTCCTTCCTACCTACCTGCCTTCCTTCCTACCTACCTGCCTTCCTAGCTTCCTGTCATCCTAATTGCATGCGTACTTGCCTGCCTGCCTACTAGCAGTGCTGCCTACCACTGCTTTCCTAGGTACCTTGCAACGCTGCCTACTTCTACTTTCCTAGGTACCTGCCTGCAATACTGTCTACCTGCTTTTCTAGCTACTTGCAACGTTATCTACGTGCTTGATTGCCTAGTTAGCAGCATAGATGACTGCCTAGCTGCCTGCATGAATGCCAGCCTGCTTGCTTATCTGCCTGCTTGATACCTGCCTAGGTGTCTGCCTTCCAGCCTGCCTGATGATGGACCCCGGGATTTGTCGTCTGTCAAGCAGATGATCGAGTTTTTTATTACTAATTAATTAACTGCACGTTAAGTAGGAAACACATGCGAGTGTTAGTGACAGTGTGAAATGATTTTGTAGTGAAGGTTAGAGAGGTGTGGGTGGCAGTGGGTATGGTGGTTTCCGAGCGTGTGCAAGGTGTGTAGGGAAGGTTTGTAGTCGTTTGGGGTCAGTGCTTATCAGTCACGCCTGTCCACGTGTAGGAATATCCGGGTTCCAGTGTTGCAGTTCATCCATCCTCCCCCACACACCTTAGTATGTTCACCCGCCCCCTCCGTCCACTCCCCCTCCTCTCCCATGAATGTTCCTCACCTTGCCGACCTCAGCCTCTCCCGGCCCGCTTCTACCTGCCCCCTCTTTATTTATTTATTTATTTATTTATTTATTTTATGTCTTTGCAAACAGTACATTGAGATTTTGTATTAACAATGGTGGGTTGCAATGCAAAGAGAGCCTCTATTATGCCTAGACATTATGGGCCAACTTAACATTATTGGCTTACTGACTACTTAACACTAAGGATTATATCATAGTTGTACAGTAGGATAGTAATTATTTCATAGTTGAACAGTTGATTATTAATCACAAGTGAATCAAAATTTGTATAAGACAAAAGATAAATTCATCTATTCAAAAATGTTTTTTGTGAAAACAATGATTCAGTTTTCCTTCCTGATTTCCTCTGCTTGTCCCTCCCTCTGCTGGTGACTTCCATCTTACCATGCTGTAAATCTTTCCCCTCTTAGGTTTAAATACACAGTTATACTGTTATTGTCATGGTTAGATAGCTTGATAACAAGCACTTTTCTGAGATGCTAAGTCTTGATGGCACTCTTGAAGACATTGTACGCGCCACACTGGTATATAGCTCTACACTAACGAACACACTTACGGTTGGGAAATTGCACCATCCCATTTTTTCTTCTACCGAAAATAAAAAGTATTTGTAGAAGGTGTGATCGGTGTTATCCCTGAGGGAGTCGAGGTCGTCTTTTGTGTGGACGGTCTACCGTGTACTGCACTGTCTACTCCTGGGGTAGCTTTTCCTAGGCTTCAGATAGCAGTGAGCAACATCATGGAGTTGGCTGTTTCTGAAGGATACCAGTTTTCCACTCAGACGTTGGTTGATTATTTTACCTGATCCTGTTACTACTTGCTGCTGCTGCTGCTGCTGCTGCTGCTGCCGCTGCCGCTGCCGCTGCCGCTGCCGCTGCCGCCGCCGCCGCCGCGCCAAAGAACTAGTGGTGTTGCTTTGCTGTGATCTCCGGTGAGAATTCGAACACAGTTCGCAAACCTATCTCAGTGTCCCGCAGAGCTCCGCACTGATCTCGTGCTGATAGCTGGCCTAGTTGGATCTCGGTTTACTATATAATAAAATTCCCAGTGTGTTCTGTTTGCCTAGCCCAGGATACTTCTGTTCATACTGTTGTTTAAAAGATCAGATTCAGGAGTGGATGACCAGGAAAATAACTAAGCAGATGCCGAGGGCAAACGCTGAGATTTCGAGTTCAGTGACTTCAAAGGACACATGTCCTTGAGAAGTTGAGTCAGGTAGGCGCTATAGGAATGAAAGAAGCTATATACAGGGCTTCAGCAGGAATCAGCACCTTGAGACTACTGTTGACTGAGGCTTCGTCACGCACCTCACGCACCTCACGCACAGTCTACTGTCGACTGAGGCTTGGACACACCTCACCCACAGTCTCATGTTTTGCAAGAGCTGCTTCCCGCTGTTTGTAGCTTGTAGTGTTGCAGCTTACTATCAAACACAGTTTTGTTTACAACTTGTAGCTCTTTATTTCGTTATGTTTATAATTATCAAGGGTCATGTGGGAATCTCTAGAGCAATTTACTGTTTTTTTTTTTAACTGATGCCTGTCATTTTCACTTCGTGTATATTTGTTTTTATCCATACCAGTAGTTTTTGATTGCTAATTCTACCTTGGCTGTTTTTGTGTTAGATTTTTGTTTTGTTTTTACTTAGTGCTGAATGGTTTATTTGGTCAGTGCTTATACAGTATTTCAAATGTATCTACTTTTTCCGATTTACCTCCATCCTTCACTATTTACCGATACCCTTCTTCCATTCACTCCTTCCTCTGTTGTTCGTTCTGCGTTTTATTCAATATTTGGCCATCCATTTATCTTCTTTATTCGTCCTGAATACCATAACATTTCATTTTTGTTCGTTCTACATCCTTACATTCTTAAGCCCTCTTGTTTTCCCTTCTTTCTCGTGACTTGGGTCCCTCTCCTCTCCCTCTTGTCTGAATGACGTGGCTAACTTTCCCACATTCTTGTTGTGCCGAGTCATCAGTAGAAGTTCCCAGCTTTATGTACTTGCTATATAAAATGGTTCGGTTGGCCTTGATGTCCCGTGTAGGCGTGGTGTTGACATGGCGTGAGTGTTTGTACAGCCGGAGCTGTTTATTTGCCTCTGTTGTACCCGAGTATCTGTCTACCCGTGTTTTACCCCGAGTACCTGTGTGCCTGTTTTACCCCGATTGCCTGTCTACCCGTGTTTTACCCCGATTGCCTGTCTACCCGTGTTTTACCCCGAGTACATGTCTACCGTGATGTGAACACAGTTATGGCCTTGTGTAACTGCTCTTCGGGTGATCCGTTGCCACTATTCCAGTAACCGTTTTCTAACCGCCACTCAGGAAAATCCTCTTCTATACGTGTTTAAGTATTTGTGTTACTTTGATAATGTTGAAAGTATAACATACATGACTTCAGGCACGTTCACTCGCTCACCCTGAAACTTAACATGTTAGACTGACATGATTTCTGTTGTTAAATTTCTTTACTTGTGTGTTGTGTGATGCAGTGTTGTAATGAACCCATTACTGATTCTTGTCGGTGTTGCAGGTACGTGTGTTGCAGCCAGAGGTTGCATACCAACTGCTGAATTCACGCTCAGACATGTTTTGGATCCACCCGTAAAGCAAGTAGGTAGTGTCAGTATAATTGAAAATAGTATAAAATACCGACAGGTTGTCGATTAAGGCATATGTGCAACAGTTGGGTATCTTTGTTGATGAAACGTTTCGCCTACACAGTAGGCTTTTTCAGTCAAATACAAAGGTAGTATTAGTAATGAAATAAAGATATTAATTCATCAACCTTAATGAAAAAAGTATTTGAGGTGGTCAGTCCCTCAGTCTGGAGAAGAGTGCAGCTCCATGGTCTGAACCAGCCCACTCAGCTGAACTCTTCTCCAGCCTGACTGACCACCTCAAGCACTTATCTACGGATTATCTTGCCGCCTCCCACTCTTAACGCTGAATTAGTTTCCGTCTCCAGTATAGACAGTGTACCAGTTGATCCACCATCTAAAGAAAGGTAAGAATCGTCTCAAAAGGGTTGGAGACAGGGGGTAAAGGAAGTTTTGAGTGCCAGGAGCTTGAACATACACCAGGCTTGTGTATGAGCAAGCTTGGAAATAAGTGTTTTTGGTGACCTGGTGTGCTGTTGGAGTGTAGGTAAGGTAATATTAAGAGTTATGGGGACCGGTTAGCAGGACCTGAGTCCTGGAGGTAGAAAGTACAGTGCCTGCACACTAAAGGGGGAGATGATACTTCAATTTTAAAGGGTCATCTTAACTATGATATGAGCACACTTCTGGCAGGAAAGCGATTAAATGAATGACTGTGAATGTGTCTTTCGTTCTAAAGTGAGAGATTGGAGGAAGTGTAAACTAGATCCCGTGAATCCTACTACTAGCAGATATCACAGATATTGCCGGATCTGGTGTAGAAATCTTAGGATGTGCTAGATCAAGTGAGTTGCGGTGGCTATGTGGGCCAGCGCCGCCAACAGCAAAAGTCTGATTGAACAGGTAATCAACAGAGAAGGTTGGTCTCGGGCCTGCCTGCGAGGGTAGAAAATGAAAAAAAAAAAAATCCAATCATAGGTTTATCACAGTATGTTACACCCAGATCCCTTCTTTCCTGACCTCAAGTGTGCGCCCACGACACTTGTTCTGTCTAGTGAAAAATATTAAAAAAAAAAATCGTGTAATTAGCTAGGAAATCAGCCATAACCTTTACGTGTACTCTCATCACTGGGGTCAGTAATAACAGCTAAACGTTGCTCCAGTTCGTTACCCTAGTAGGAATTGTATTTATGTTGGTAGAAATACCAACAAAATGTTAGGTAAAAAGGACTCGAGAGCAACTAATGTGACATTTTGTGGCAATGTTTCGCTTTCCAGGAGCTTGACAAAGCTCCTGGAAAGCTCAGCCTTTCCGCTGAAGACTGTCTTCTGTTTCTGTAATATAAATAATTATTTTCTCGGAGAAAACGTACTGAACAGATAATTACTTTTGGGAGAGGGTCAACAAAAATGGTTCATTGCAGTGACTTTTAATTGAAACTTAGTTTGATATGTTTATTACATCACTGTTTTTGGAACAGTCTTAAATTACGGTATTGTTAAGTCTAGTGTTGGTGTACTTGTGGTCTTTTACAACTCCGAATATACAAGTGTACAAGCGCTGGTAGTAAATGAGGACGGTACGTAGATCACAGCAGAGGCAACAGAGCAATTGCAAGGGGCAGCTGCAGTCCGCGCGCCTCCCTCCCTCAGAGAGTAACACCACACGTCTAGAACTGACGTCTAGAATACAAGATCTTCTGCCTTTAATTACTGAACTGAAGAAAATAATATTTTTTGTGGTTTTTGTGACTTGAAGACTTTGTAGTATAAAAGAACTTCGGCTGGCATGTTCCTTCATTATAGTTGTTGTAACTAATTCTGAAAGTTGCCAAAATCTCTGCTTTATCGTTTTGATTTCTCTGCCATGTTTCATATAAATCCAGACAGTACATATACAAAGATTACATTAATCTATATCCCAAGAACACCCTCCATGTAGACTCCAGGTAAATAACCAAGACAGTTGGAGAAATTTAGATATAAACGTGCACACTGAAGACCTGATTTAGCAAAAGTTAGTGGAACAAATCCCAGGTAGTCGCCGAGGCAAAAACTTTGGGTAACTTTAAATATAGGTGGGACGCGTATATGGGTAGTTGTGGTTAAGTGAGAGGTAGACATGCCCAGTGTGGGCCAGTAGGCCTACTGCCGTGTTCCTTCATTATGATGTTCGTATAGCTTGTAAAGCACAATGGTAGGACGAGGATCAGTGCCAGGGTAACAAAATAATTCTGTATTTGAACTTGTAATATTTTCCAATTTTGCTCATTGCCTCTTCAGAATTTGTTGAAGTTAAAAGTACAAGAACTGTAATATTATGACATAACAAATATTGATATATGGGTATATTTAAGTTAAAATGACAAGTTAACAAATACCAAAATGTAACTAAGTTAACAATATCAAGTTAGCAAAACAAATTGTGTGAAACATCATCCAGTTTCAAGAACTCTGGTCAAGGACTTGCATATGCTAGGGAAAAGTAAATTACTGTATAGGTACCTTCCATTACGTAATTTGTATGGTTCCTTAATTTGTATAATATATTTTGTACTTGCCTTTTGAAAGATTTTAGTAATTTTACATAAAATAGTTGGTATTAAATTTCATTTGTTAAAATTGGACAACTTTTCCTCCAAAAGTATTAAATTTGGTTTGGAAAGTTTGTCAGTCAAATCGTGAAAAAAAAATGTATCGTATATTAACAGGTAATGTATTTGTCTTGGTAAGATTTGGTTAGTTCGGTTATCTCTACTTGATAAATGAATATTTAGTAATTTAACTAGTATGATAGTTGCTACTGTATGGAATGAGGGAAATTCTGTAACAGTACTGGGCAAAATCAGATCATTCAGTCGAGTGAAAGTTCATTGTACGAGAGGATGTCAGATCTCCCGTTCAAGGATCACAACAGTGTTGCTGTCACTACTATAAGTAAAATGATATATTGGATAAGTAGAATGGTCAGAACAAGAGATGCTGAGCCAGTGATGATAATCTACAAGTCACTTGTCTCCAGGCTATTCTAACGGCCTTTGTCACAGGTGATTGCTGAGCTGGAAAACGTACAGAACCTACACTTAATCAACCATCTGAACTTCTGGGAACACTTGAATTGTGTGTATGTGTATTATATTTATACACCTATACACAAATGAATGTGTTATATTTATACATATACACAAATGTGTGTGAGAGAGAATCCCTCTTCCAACCATACTATAAAGGATCATAAGCAACACTCCAATCAGGAAATTCTTTGACCTGGAAAGATTGACGAGAGGCAGCCACAATCTACGGTTATCATGTAGACACTACTGTTTTAAAACAGTCTGGTCTATGGACATGGTTATTCAGGATATATGATCTTGATCTCTAATATTTTCAGGTTAGAGCTAGTCCACAGGCAGGGTTGCTCAGAATATAGCATCTTAGGCTCTACAGCAGGTGTGAGCCAGGGTGGTGGTCCCTCCACTGTTTTTACTTCGGGTGTATCAGCTTAAACTTAAGACTGCTCAACTCTGCCAAACTTTACGCCGGCTTTGAAGTAGTGAGTGATACATTTAAGTTTATGAAGATGAACTAGGACGCTTGGGTGAGGCCTGGCCCTCTGTGCACTCAGTGGCACAAGTACTGCTGCACTCTGGCATTCACATGTACTGGTGCACTCACCAGCACTCCGATACAGTGGCACTCTAGCACACTCACAGGTTGGTACAGGAGCAAAGATTGTCCATTTAAACATAAATTAGCGAGTATAAATTGCTTAGAGAGAGCAAGCACGCGCGCGCGCACACACACACACACACACACACACACACACACACACACACACACACACACACACACACACACACACACACACACACACACACACACACACACATGGTTATTCAGGATAGATTGAGGTGCTGAAGACAGATGAATCACAGGGATGTTAGGAAGTATTTCTTCAGCCACAGAGTAGTCAGTAAGTGGAATAGTTTGGGAAGCGATGTAGTGGAGGCAGGATCCATACATAGCTTTAAGCAGAGGTATGATAAAGCTCACGGCTCAGGGAGAGTGACCTAGTGGCGATCAGTGAAGAGGCGGGGCCAGGAGCTCGGACTCGACCCCCGCAACCTCAACTAGGTGAGTACATACACATTCACCGGTACTTTGGCAGACTGTGCATAGAATTCTGCGGTAAAGTAGTGACGGTTGTCTACAGAGGGACGGTTTTTTTATTGTCATTTGCAGAGGGACTCTTCTGTCATTTAATAGCGAGATAGTTCACAGTTCGTACGATGACTACAACTGAGGCTTGCTGGTGATGTTGGGGTTGTCTGGGTTATAGACTTTAGAGACACTGAGGGTAAGAATTTGAGGTGCTGTAGAGGTGTGAGGGAAGAGAAGAGAAGGCTAGAGGTGTGGAAGGAGCAGGGAGTAAGGGATGGGCAGGGCAGCGTGTGAGGGGGGAGGAGTGAAGGTGGGCTTGGAGAGGGAGATGGAAATGCTCCTGGGTGGTGACTGTGAGAAATAGGAATAAAGATGGGCGTTATATTTTCATCAGTTGTGCTCCAGCCTCCATCACAGCAGCCAGAGAGTCGTCATTCATCTGGGTTCAGGGCGGGACGAGAGGGGGAGGGAGGGAGGGAGATGATGGCAGTCGGAACCGACACCATTTATATCTGGAACGTCCGGTGGATTGTCCTGTGATAGCGGTGGAGTGAGCCATTATTGGTGGTGGTGGTGGTGCTGCTGCTGCTGCTGCGTCCATCCGGGTAGTGCCGGGAAGTGGGGCCGCTGTACTGGATTTTGTTGGTTTCAAGCAAAATTCGTAGTTGTCACACGGATAGCCGGATCTTATCTACACCAAGCCATGACACAGGATGTGCATGTCTCTGAATATTTTTCTTATTGTTGGATTGTAATATCCCTTAACAAATGATTGATATTCAGTAAAGTATGTCTTGATGATTATTCTGTGGAATAGTCTTCCGGATCACGCGAGCGAGAGGGATGATTGTG